GGAGGCCGAGAACATTCTCATCAAGGCTCGCAACTTTTTGGTTTTCCAGGGCGACGTCGAGGCCATTGCGTCGCAGTCGTCGCAGGACCTGACGCGCCTGATTGAGCAGATCTCGGGCAGTCTCGACTACAAGCCCGAATACGAGCGCCTCAAGGCCGAGGCCGAGCAGGCCATCGAGAACCAAAACTTCCACCTGACCCGCCGCCGCGCCATCAACGCCGAGATCAAGCAGTACCAGGAGCAGAAGGCCGAGGCCGAGAGCTTCCAGCGCAAGCTGAACGAGCGGGACGACGCCATTGTGGACCAGATGCTGTGGAAGATTTACCACTACCAGCGCATCATGGACGACTCCAGCAACCAGATCCAGGAGCACAACGAAAATCTCGCCGAGTTCCGCCGCAACCTGGCGGATGCCGAGACGAAGCTCGAAGAGGCGCGCGCGGCGCAGGCGGCTGCCAACAAAGAGGCGTCGCGTGTGGAGCGCCGCATCCGTCACAAGGAGCGCGACATTGAGGACGAGGAGAACAAGCTCATTCCCGTCTCGGAGAAGGTGGAGCAGCTGTCCAACGACATCGCGCTGCTGAAACAGAAGATCACGTCTGCCACCGAGGAGCGCGATGCCCAAGCGGCGCGCGTCCAGAAAGCCGAGAAGGAGATTGCCGTTGTCGAGAAGGCGCGCCAGCAGTTTGAGAAGCAATGGAAGGAGACGCTGCAGAAGCAGGGCAAGGACTTGAGCGACGACGACCGGAAAGAGTACCACGCCCTGCGCAGCCAAGTCCGCGCCAAGTGCGCCGTGGAGCTTGCCGAACGCGACCACATCCGCCGCCAGCTCAAGAGCGACGAGGTGACCGTCAGCACAATCAAGGGCAACGTCGACAGCCGCCAAGCCAAGGTGACGAAGCTCGAGGCGGAGCTGGAGACGATTAAGGAGCGCCACAGCACGTGCCAAGACGATGTGCGCAAGATCGGCCAGGACGTGGACGGCGCCAAGAAGACGTTCAACCAGGCCAAGTCAGAGCGCGTGCGTGTCAACAACGCCGTGACAGATCTGGAAGAGCAGATGCAGGACATTTCTACCCGGCTCGAGACGGCCCGCTCCGGCATGGTGCAGAGCCGCAGGGAAACCCGCATGAAGGAGGTTGTCTCCCAGATGCGGCGCATTTACCCGGGCGTGCACGGCCGCGTCGGTGAGCTGTGCAAGCCGAAGCAGAAGAAGTACGACGAGGCCGTGGTGACGGCGCTGGGCCACGACTTTGACTCGGTCGTGGTCGATACCGAGAAGACGGCAGCCGAGTGCATTCAGTACCTCAAGGAGCAGCGCCACACACCCATGACGTTCATTCCCCTGGACAATGTCAAGGTCAGCGCGCCCAACACCGCCATCAAGAGCATACAGGGTGCGCGGCTGACGATCGACACCATCGACTTCGACTCCAACCTCGAGCGCGGCATGGCCTTTGCGTGCGGTGGGTCCGTGATCTGCGACTCCATGGACGTGGCCAAGAACATTGTCTACCAGAAGCGGCTGCCGGTCAAGGCCGTCACGCTGGAGGGCTTCCTCATCAACCGCTCCGGTACGATGACGGGTGGTCGTATGCCCGACCAAAAGGGTAACCGCGGCAAGCGGTTCGCCGAGGAGGACGTGCAGAACCTCGAGCGCATGTTCGAGAAGAAGCGCGCCGACCTCGAGAAGCTGCCCAAGCCGAGCCACCTGCTCCACCACGAGAAGGTGCTCAACGACGAACTGGTGCATCTGGAGCAGCGCCTTCGGTCTGCGCGCGCGGAGCTGCAGGCCTTTGAGAAAAACCTGACCAGCAAGAAGCAGGAGGTCGCCGAAGAGAAGCAGCAGCTGCGCGAGAGAGAAGCGAAGCATGCCGACGAGGCCGCCAAGCTGGCCAAGACGCAGAGCGCCGTGACCAAGACGGAGCAGGCCATCAGCAAGGTCGAGGACAAGATCTTTGGCGCCTTCTGCAAGAAGCACGGCTTCAAGGACGTGCGCGAGTACGAGGCGCAGCAGGGCAGCCTGGAGCAGCAGGCGGCCGAGAAGCGGAGCGAGTTCGAGGTGCAGCTGCAGCGCCTCAAGTCGACCATGAGCTGGGAGGCATCGCGCCACGACAGCACCAAGACGCGCGTGCAGCAGATGGAGCGGCGGGCACAGCAGCTCACCAAGGACCTCAAGGAATACCAGGCGGAGAAGAAGCAGGTGGAAGGGGTGATTGCGCAGGCACAGCGTGACGTCGCCAAGCTGCGCAGCGACCTCGACGCGATGCAGGAGGAGAACAGCGACACGGCCGACAACGTGGCGGCCGCGCGCGCCGAGGTCCAGAAGTGGCAGCGCGAGATCGAGTCGCGGCACAAGGAGATCAACGGCTTGGAGACAGAGGTGCAGAAGAACAGCGCAGCCAAGTTTGCCCTGTTGCAGCGGTGCAAGATGGAGCAGATCCAGATCCCGCTGGAGGAAGGCTCGCTGGACGACTTGCCCAACGAGGACCAGCTGCTCAACCAAGACCCCGATGCCATGGACATTGACGAGGGCGACGACGGTGTCATGGAGGTGGCGATGGACGACCACGGCATTGAAGTCGATTTTGAGCGGCTACAGGGCGAGCTGAAAGACGTACGTCCGAACCCCCGCCCCCCCTTTTCTCGTGCATGACTCGAATGTTACAGTATACTGACAGTAGTTACCCAACAACCAGGGCGAAGACGAGGAGCGCGTTGAAGAGCGGCTGGAGACCAAGATTGCCGAGCTGACGGCGGAACTGGAGAAGCTGAATCCCAACATGCGGGCCATTGAGCGGCTCGAGTCTGTGGAAAGCAAGCTGCGCGAGGTCGACAAAGAATTTGAGGACAGCAAGAAGGTGGCGCACCGGATCAAGACCGACTTTGAGGACGTCAAGAACCAGCGCACGGACGTCTTCCGCCGCGCATTTACGCACATCCAGGAGCAGATCACCGAGGTCTACAAGGAGCTCACGCGGACAGAGGCGTACCCGCTCGGCGGCCAGGCGTATCTGGACATTGAGGCCGAGGGCGACGAGCCGCCGTACCTGAGCGGCGTCAAGTACCATGCCATGCCGCCGCTGAAGCGCTTCCGTGACATGGAGCACCTGTCGGGTGGTGAGAAGACGATGGCGGCGCTGGCGCTGCTGTTTGCTATCCACAGCTACCAGCCATCGCCCTTCTTTGTGCTCGACGAGGTGGATGCGGCGCTGGACAATGCCAACGTCGACAAGATCAAGAAGTACATCCGCGAGCATGCCGGGCCGGGCATGCAGTTTATCGTCATCAGCCTCAAGCCGGGCCTGTTTCAGGACAGTGAGAGCCTGGTGGGTGTGTACCGTGACCAGGAGGTGAACAGTTCAAAGACGCTGACACTGGATGTGAGTTTTCCCCGGACCCTCTTCATGGCGTCTGCCCTATTTGATGTATTGTGCGGCAGCTTACTGACACATGCATTTAGCTTCGCAAATATATCTAATCACCAGGACAAACAAAAACAACAAAATCACATGGGACGGCGGGGATTTGCGGAAGATGTGAAGCGGACGAAAGGGGACATGTGAAAAAAGGGGATTTATTTAATTATGTTTTGCGGTTTCTGTTTGCGTGTCTGCAGCCCCGCAAGGGCTCTGCCGATGGTTATGTCTGTGTAAATATGAAATTTGGGCTGGCTGTTCAAATGCGGGTTGCGTGCTATTTTTAACGTTTATTTTCTTTCCTTATTTTCGTGTTTCTTTTTCTGAAGGCTAGCAACTGCGGCGATGGACAATGCTCGAGGGTGACTGTGTTGCGGATTCCTGCCATTTTCTGTGTTCTTATACATTTCTTGCCACTTTGTTCTACGTAATGCCAATGCTGAGCGGAGGTTTTCTTTTTTTTTATGTTCATTTTCATTTTCGTCCTCATCCCACGATTGTGTGATGTTTGACGTAGAGATCGCTCACTAATGGCCGACTTACACGACATGTGCAGTCTAGATCAAGGAGTCCACTTAGATCAACCCACGGATAGCCCATTTAGCCAAGGCGAGTGTCGCTGCGACTTTCTATCACGTCAGCCCGTAATCGACACTCTCTGTTGTGCTGCCGTCTTAGTGGCTCCTCACAGACGTGTTGTTTGACGCGAGCTGACGCAGAATGGGGGTCGTGCAGCGTGCAGCGTGGGAGATGGCTTGTCTCGCCTGGTAGGTACTTGTTCAATGACAATGTTCTGCTTCCCCTCATTTATCTCCAGCTTATTTACTTTTGTCTGCTTGGAATCATCGGCCCGAGGGACCTTTTTACAGCCACTTAAATCTGCAGCGCTCCTTCCTGACATTTTACCTGCAGTTCACAAATGCTTTCTCCTGCTGTTCAAAGTTAACAACTGCCCCTCCTTCCTCATTTGTCACCAGGAGTTGATTGTGAACCGAAAGCAGAAAGGCAACGACCACAAGGCTCTAGCCTTCCAACCACGGAAACACCAGAGACAGACGGGTTCTTTCCCTGTTGTGCAATTGTCCACCGCCGCCGCTATTGACTTAGACACGGCTGTCCATTCGCTCCTTCCGCACCAGCGAAAGCCGGAGTCCTGACGGCAGAAAATTTTGTCCTCTGTCCAACCCGGGCCCACTAGCGAACATTTTGTGGGCCGCAGAAGAGTCATTGCCTCGCTCCTGCCAAAACTCCAGGTTAACAGCGCGGCCGCTGCTAGTGTCGTTCGCTGCTTCTTTTTCGCTCTTTCCTCATTGTCGAACAGTTGCTCTTCTTTCTCTACTTGCAATTGCATCTTCTGCTTCACTCCTTTTCCAAGCTTCCAGAGACCTCACGACTCACGACTGTCTCTGTGGTTGCTCGCCATCCGGATCCCATACCCCCATTCCCCTCTGTCCTCCGAATTTCCTCCGTTGGCGAACGTGCCTCCCTTTGACTCGACCCCCCACCCCGACGAACGGCACGTCTTTCGAGCGTACAGCCTCTCCCCCTGTGCGCACGCAAACTGCACACTAAAAATACACGATGTCACGGCCATTGTTAAGAAATTCTGGTGGAAATGGATGGATTGTGCAGAAGTTTGGTGGCACCAGTGTCGGCAAGTTCCCAGACAAGGTCAGTGTGTCACACTCTCGCGCCGACAAGCGCAAAACGTGCTGCATTGCAGCTCCAAACGTGGCTCTCGGCGCGTTGGAACGAAAGGGCAGCCGAAAAAAAAATCACAGACAGACAATGCTAACAAGCTGTCCCGTTACAGATTGCCGAGGATATCGTCCGGTGAGTCAATATAAGAAATTAAACAGTCGGCACAAGAAGCACCTTGGGCGAGCCATTGCGCAATGCAAGGGTTCGCGAGTGGGGCAGAGACAACAATCATGTGCAAATGCAAGGGCGCAATACAAATGCGCATGCACGCCCGTTCTGAAACAAGACGACACCCAACAATGACAGCTCTACTAACACGCGGTGCCCAGGCAATATGTCTCGTCAGAGAACCGCATCGTCGTCGTCTGCTCGGCACGCAGCCCCGGCAAGAAGGTCGGCGGCACCACAAGTCGCTTGCTGGAGGTCGTCAAGAGCCTGCAGCTTCTTGGCCCAGCCGCCGCTATGAGCGACGAACCCGCCCAAGTCCAGCTCGTCGAGACTGCCCAGAAGCTCATCCACGACATCTGCAATGAACACGTCACGTCCGCCCAAGCAAGCGTCTCGGACCCGGCTCTTTGCGACGCCTTGTGCAAAGAGATCGACGCCGAGTGCCGCGAGCTCGCTGAATACGTCGCCGCCATCAAGCGCTTCAATCTCGAGGTCAACTCCCGCTCCAAGGACCGCGTCATCAGTTTCGGCGAGAAGCTGAGCTGTCGCTTCATGACCTACGCGCTGCGCGACCACCAGGTCGCCGCCGAGTACGTTGACCTGTCCGACGCCTTGCACTCCGGTATCGGAGGTGCAAACCATATCCACGACCGGCTCGACGCCGCATTCTACCGTGAAGCAGCGAGCGTGTTCGCCAAGAAGATTGCCGCCTGCGGCGACAGCGTACCGGTCGTGACGGGTTTCTTCGGCAACGTGCCCGGCAGCTTGGTGGACGGCGACGTGGGACGTGGCTACACAGATCTGTGCGCAGCACTCATCGCCGTGGGGCTCAAGGCACAGGAGCTGCAGGTCTGGAAGGAAGTGGACGGTATCTTCACAGCCGACCCAAGCAAGGTCCCGACGGCACGACTCATTCCGTCCATCACGCCCTCCGAAGCAGCGGAGCTCACGTTCTACGGCTCCGAGGTCATCCACCACTTGACCATGGACCAGGTCGTAAAAGCGGTACCGCCCATCCCGGTGCGCATCAAGAACGTCAAAAACCCGCGCGGCAACGGCACCATTGTTCTTCCGGACCCAGTACGTGCGCCTGGCCAGCAGCTGCAGCGCATGGGCCGCGGCAGTTTTGCGGTGGGCGCTGCAGCCCCAGTCACCAACGGCAACGGACCGGCTGCAGCGGCGGCTGGTGTGCGGCTCACGCCGCGGCGACCGACGGCCGTAACCATTAAGGACCGCATCTCGGTGCTTAACATCCACTCCAACAAGCGGTCCCTGGCACACGGCTTTGTGGCCCGCGTGTTCTCGATCCTCGACCAGCACCAGATCTCGGTGGATCTCATCGCCACGAGCGAGGTGCACGTGTCCATGGCCATCCACGCGCCGGACGTGTCATCGCCGTCCGAGGCTGGCGTCGCCGACAGCAATCTGGAGCTGGCGCGGAAACAGCTGGGCGCCCTCGGCGACGTTAGCCTGCTGCACGGCATGGCCATTCTGAGCCTGGTGGGTGCGGACATGAAGAACATGATTGGCGTTTCCGGCAAGATGTTTTCGACGCTCGGTGAGCACAACATCAACATTGAGATGATTTCTCAAGGTACGTCGCTGTCACCCACTCCACCCGGCCTCGGTCAATATACATCCCTTGCCTTGCCTTGCTCAACTTAAACTAACAACATCTTCAGGCGCCAGCGAGATCAATATCTCGTGTGTGATTGATGCGGACGAGGCCACAAGAGCGATGAATGTGTTGCACACAAATCTATTTACATTTTTGGATTAGGCGACGATAGACCGTGTATTTTATGTTTTGAACTGGGGGCATGTCTCGTCTTTTCTGCCACTTTCTTCTCTTCTTCGCATCTGCCTTCATTTTCTGGGCGTTTTGCGTTTTACTCTTTTGTTTTTGTATCCCCTAACCGCCTTGGGGTCGAATTAGGGCGAAGCCATTTTGCTTTTTTTTTGTTACGAAAAAGGGAAAAGAGATTTCCACGTTCCAATCTATCAAGTATCCTTTTCATTAACCAAAGAAACAACATACCCGACTAGACTGAACCCAATACAGTGATTAAAACACATGGTCCTTGTGTCCTTTTTTATTTTCAGATTTCCTTCACTTTTAGATTCGCCAAAGGCTAAAAGCAGTAAAGACAAATTGTCCCTGTACCTGTGATTCATGCTCCTGTCCAGAATACATGTAAGAAACCAGCCCCCTTCACCATGATATCCCTCTCTTTGATCTTTCGCATTCACCTTTTTACTCATTTCTTTCCCTTCTTCCGCTTCTTGGCGGCAGAACTGCCACTCGGGCCTTGCGGGGCCTTCTCCACGCGCACCGACCCGGCACCGCCCGCCAGCGCAAGCGTCTCCTCCTCCTTCACCACGCCGCCTTGCATCGTGGCCGCATCGCCGCGCCGGCCACGGCCCTTCTTGCCCTTGGGCGGGCGGTATGAGCTGCGGTCGCGCACGGGCAGCCAGCGCTCCGGGTCCATCTTCTTGTTGGGGTCAAAGGTGCTGGTGCTGCCGTCCGCAGCGGCCTTGGCCTGCAGCTTGCGTGCCTGGCGCGACAGCGAGGGCGCGGCAGCAGCACCCGTCTTGGGCTTCTTGGCGGACGGCTGAGCCGCAGCGGCGTCGGTCGTGGCAGCAACCGTTGCAGCAGCAGAGCGCTTCTTGCTCTTGGCGGGTGCAGCGGGTGCGGGCAGCGTGGCCACGCCGTTCTGCAGCAGAGACGTGACGTCGATGCCTTTGGCGAGCTGGTCGACCGGCGTCAGCGACGCAGCCAGTTTTTGCTGGCGCGCAGCCTGTGCGGGCGACACGGGTGTGGTGGCGGAGTCCGTTGCGGACGCAGCAGCCAGCGAGGCAACAAGGCCGGCGGCGGTAATCTTGTCGGCAGGATCCGAGGCGTGCAGCGTCTCAAATGCCGAGGCCGCGGCGGCCTGGTCGGCGGGATCTTGCGAGTGCAAGAGCTCGACACCGGCAGCACGCAGCAGAGAGGCAGGCGGCGCGGACAACGGGGTCTTGCGGGCCTGCTGCCAGTGGGCAGCGGCTTTGGCGAGTTCGGTGCGCACGGCCTGGTGGCGGCCCTGCAGCTTGTAGATGGCGACGGCCAGGGCGACCAGACCGGGGGCAAAGCGGGCGTCTCTGGCGGCCGTTGCAGTGGCGTCTTCTGCACGGCGGAAGTAGGCCTCTAGCAGAGAGAGGGCGGCCTCGGCGTTGTGTGCTTGCAGCTGCAGCTGCACGGCGGTCAGAAGCAGGCCAATGTCATCAGGGCGATGTTCGAGGAGCGGCAGGATGCGCCGCAGGGCATCCTTGCCAGTCTGCAGCTCGGCCTTGGCGGCGGCACCAAAGACGCCGAGGTCCACGACGTCGGGGAACGTGGCCAAGCTGATGTTCTCGTTCTCCTTGTTGCTGTCGCCGTCACGGGTGCTGGACTGGCGCTTGAGCAGCTTGGCGGTGCGGCCCAGCACGCCCTTGAACTTGTAGCACTGCAGCTCGATGGCAAACTGGTTGCGGCGCAGGATCCGTGCCTGGTGCGAGAAGAGGCGGTCGCTGCCCGACGGCGAAGCGGGGACGGCGTCGACCTGGCGCTGGGCGAGGTAGGGGTTGCTGCTGGTCGGAGACGAACTGCTGCTGTTCTTGATGACGAGCGAGTTGGTCGCCGCGACAACCTTGACGGAGCCGTCACACTCGCTGGCGTCAATGGCCTTCTGGAGCGCGGCTGCGTCGTCATGACGGCCCAGGCGGGTCAGTGTGTACACCTGCTGGATCAAGATGGGCAGCAGCTCGGCGCGCTTGTCCTCGTCGCTGAGCTCGTCGGACGCCTCGCACAGCTGCTGGGCGCGGCGCAGCAGAATCGAAGCCTTGGCCACGTCGCCGCGAGCCACGGCCACACAGCCAGCGTTGTAGGCCGCCTCAAAGGACTCGAGGTCTTCCCGGCGGCCGGCATCGAGTGCACTGTCCTGGCCCGCCGACACGGTCGTCGATCCGCGGCCCTGCCATGCGCGCTGGGCCGACACGGCCAGGGCGTTGATGCGCACGTCGGTCGACTCGCCGACACCGGCCTCGGGTGCACTCTCGGCGTCCTCGCCCAGGGCAGCATAGAGGCCCGCGGCGAGGTCGAACTGCTCGGTCCGGTAGGCGACCTGGGCGGCCACGTGCTTCAGGGCGCGATGGGAGGCACCCTGGCTAGCCGCCAGCGCGGCAGCGGCGTCGAGGTCGCCCGTCTTGTAGAGGGCATAGGCACGCTCCAAAACCGTGCGGGCGGCGAGCGCATCGCCACCGGCGGCCACGGTGCGCAGGGCATCGTCGAAGCGGTCGAGCTTGAGCAGGGCGACAACCTTGGCGTGCAGAGCGGTCAGCTGCTCAGGGCTGGCGGAGCCGGCCGTTCCGTTGCCGATGGCGGCATTGGCGAGCTTCAGGGCTTCTTCGTGGTCGTCGATGCTGGCGCCGCGTAGCAGCGAGTTGAGGGCGTTGACGGCTGCTGCCATTGTGGTGCGTGTGTTGGGGGCGTAGAAGCGCCGCGGAGATCGGCGGCGAGGTTGCGTCGTGTCGAAAGACGGGGAAGGGGGTGGTTCGTCCTGGTGACTAGCAACGTCCCATGGCGTTTTCGTGTATGTGTATTTTGTTGTGGTTGCAAATCGTGCGATGCCGCTTCGACCGTTGACCGTGTGCCTGCCTTTTTCGTCGGGTGTCGTTGTTCAGAGGGCAGTAGCTACCGACGTCCAAACAGAGCCTGCCGCACACGACAAACTGGCAGGAGCGATTGAGCGAGAGGGGCAGCCACAGTGTGTGGGGCACTTTCTGTGTCCTTTTCTGTGTGTGATTTTTTTCTCGAATCGCTCTTACTAAATTTTGGGTTTATTGTGGGCCCGTCCCGAGGAAAGAACGACCCGCTAGCATTTACAACAGTATTTCGTATCAAAGCACAGCATAAAGAACAGCTACAAAACTTTGGACGGCGACGCTTTCAGTCAAAACCAGGCATTTCTCATGTTCTTCCATGTGCATCTCAGGTGTCATATACAGCATCCAGTTGTCCATCGTCACAAGCCGCATCTAGCTGCGGCACGTGTACAGCTACCCTTTCTATGACCGGCGGAACATGCCCCAGAACCGCTTCTGCTTTTGGGCCTTTTCCTGCTGTGGCTCTGGGACATCGGGCACCCACAGTGGGCGCATCGGATAGGCCGGCCGAATGTCGTACTCGGGTGCTTCTCTTTGCCAGATGTTGTCGCTGGAATCGGCGGGCTTGGGCCGACGCCGCAGCTTGTGCTCAGGAATCTCGCCCAACTTGGTGCTCGCGCTGGACCTCGATAGCATCGAGACGCGGCGGCCCACACGATGACCCGAGTCGTTCTGGTGAGCGCTAGGGCTCCGAACGATGGTACTTCCGCTGTCCCTCCGCCTGCCGCTCCTGCTGCTGCCGCTGCTAGTGCTGTGGGAGCTTCCGTGGTGCCGATGGGGGCCGCGCTGCTGGGCCTGTGCAGTGCTTTCTCTTGCCGACGGGGTGGCCTTCTTCTTTGGCTTGATCTGTGGCTCACCAGGGCGACGGCTTCTGCTCTTCGTGACGTTGCCGTCTCTTGCTGAACTGCGACTCCCTTGACTGCTATGGCTGCTCCCGGAGCTTGAACCTGCTCGCCGATGCTTCTTGTTTCCCTTGTTTTTTTGTTGCCTCTGTTCGCCATCAGGTAGCGGTCCTGAGCCGGTTGGAAGCGCGGACGGGTGTGGCATTGGTGGAGAAACGCCTGAGGATGCCCGGCTCCCGCGCGATCGAACCGACACGCTGCTTCGGCTGCCCCGGTGTCGGTGGCCACTCATGCGCACAGAAGCTTCGTCAATAGCATGGATGGCGTCGATGCGGGAGGCATTTGACAGGGCTCGCAGGGCATCATAGTTGAGCAACGGCCGGCCGTCTGGCGTGGCACTGTCTCTGTGACTGCTGCCGAACCCGAGGATGCTTGCCAAGGCATCTGTCAGTCGCCGGACAATACGCCGGAGCGCAGAGCGGGACTGGCCTGTAGGGACAACGTGTAAGCGATGGGTGGGAAATTGTAGGAAAACAAAATGTGACGCAGGGACACCTACCATCGCCCTTTTGAAGTCGACTGCCCGTTTCGCTCAGACGTTTCGAGTACGCCCTCTGGATCTTGGCCCGGTCTGCTTGAAGGGAGCGACCGAGCTCGGACTGACGATCCCGCTCGGAGGACGACGGCGAGGCAAACTGGCCATCTGAATAAGATGAGTAGCCGTCGCCTGAGCTACTGAAGATTCGAAGCAGGGACAGGCATTTTGCATATGCCTCTAGGAGTGCATCGACGCCGTCGGCGAGGCCCATGGTAGATTTTAGAGGCGTTGGGAACGTACTGCAACCGGGTGCGGGCCGCGTGCAGGCGGCTAAGAGGGTTGCTGCAGGTTCCAGTGTTTACACTCGAATTTTGGGATGGAGATGGCAAAGTAGGATGGCCTCTGCAAGCTGTAAAATCCACCATGTGCTGTGCCGCCGGAGGACCTCCGTGTCGTAAAAGGCACACGCCGGCGTATCTACGGAGCCGCGCTCGTTCACGCGGGGTTGCCTCACGACTCTCCTCTTTTGGCGCCTCTCACCAGACCTTCGCCTCCTCAGTCGTCTGACCATGGGATCGAGGTTGGCCATACACTTTTGTCCGCCACGAGCTCGACCCACAAAAAGCCGCCCGCTAACCGCCAGTAGCCGTGGATGGTCGCCAGTCGTTTGCTCCATCTAGCGGCCACTAGCCACTAGAACAACTTGTCAGCCCCTGAACGCAGCATGTGGTCGACGACGTTGGGGCACTGTTACGACTTTCTGATTCTGGACTTATCGAGGAGAGATGGGCGTGAAGAGGCAGCTTTGAGACAAAAATAAAGAAGGAACACGAACACTGAAAACAGAACGGGAAGCACAGAAAGATGGGAAATAGGTGCGAGCGTGGCACGGCGTAAGAGACAGATATGACAGACGCAAAACGCCCACATCGACCAGCGTTGGTTGGTAGTGTTATCAGTCTCGAAAAGGAAAGAAAAAAGCATAAAGCAAGGGCCCTGTCTTGGATGAGGACCAAGTTGGGGGCGCACTCCCACGTCGATGATATGCACAAGCAGGCATGCAAGAGCCCGTAAAATGGACGAGACGAATCGACGGATGCAGCGTGCGGATCTTCTGATATCACGTCTATTCTATCTTTTGTCCCGAGATAGCACACCGAGGACGAATGATGCATGCAGTGTCAGCCCTGAAAAGGGGAGCGTGGAAATTGCGTGGGAGGGAAGGACAAAAAAAAAGAAAAGACAAAAAAACATGATTTCATGATCTCACATGATTGTGTGCTTTTGTTGCTTATGTTCTGCGTTGTCAGCAGTCATGGACCCTTATCTGACTAGAACATAAAGCTGAAAAGTGCAGGAAAGCGCCACAAAGGGGGCCCTTGCTTCGTCTTGCTTTTTTTTTTTTTTTTTTTTTTTTTGTCACTGACAGGGTGTGCCTTTCTTGTTTTTTGCGTGGGCGGACGTGTCCTTTCCTAGGTTCCTTTTGTGCATCCGAAAACGAAGTACTTTTATTTTTCTCATTCTATCTTTTGTTTCCTGTCCCATTCCATCCACCGTCCCGTTTCTCGGTAGACACTCCCGGCTCTCCGTATCATAAAATGCGCGATGCCAATTGGAGGGCCTGGACCAGGGTGGGCAAAGTGGTGCCTGGGTGCTTTTGGGTGTCGGGGGTGCCTGGGCGTGGGATGTGGCCGGTTCTACGGGACGGACACTTATAAGACGGGTAGAGGCAGAAAACAGAAAAAGGAAGAAAAAAGGAAGAAAAAGAAAAAGAAAAAGAACGGTAAAAGGAACGGAGAAGAGGCAGCTGAAGACAGAGCGAAGGAGAGACAAAAAAAGCAACTACGAAAATATGTCCGATATGCAACTCCGTTCCCTGTTGGCTACCGACTAGGTCCGTTGACTTGGTCCGTTGACTTGGTCCGTAGACTTGGACGTTTGACATTGCCGCTCCCTTAACTATCGTATCGTTCCTTTTCTCATTCACTCTTCTGCCCGTGTTTTCACACCACTCCACTACTATCTTTCATCCAAGATAAGTGTGGGCTTTCTACACTTCGGGTAAAGTGGAAGGGCCTTCCGCGGAACGATCCTAGTTTGGAAATGGCCGACGCGGGATGAGAAAAACACAGACACAGATGGCGGATCCGTAGTTGCCATCACGACTGAACCTTTCATTCATTCATCAATTCACTTTTATTTTCGTCTGCAAGAACTGGCAATGGCCGTCGCCTCCTGAAAATATCGAGAATCTGGTCCTCTGCATTGTCGCACAGAGTTATGTTCTTCGTGTCATGCTGCTGCTGTTGCCTCTATCTTTGGGCGTCTTTCTGGCTTGCTGGCCCTGCCTTATCTGCCCACCTGTTCAGGGCGCCGTGCACTCTCCCATTTCGGCTCTTCTTCGTCGGATTGGAACGCTCTTCTTACTCTCACACACGCCCCCCCTGGTCCCGGATAATCCTGTACGTCGTACTTGCAGCATTCAACACGTTGGCCAATGAACGGTCGTGATCGCATCTACGTGCCTTTATCGCAGAAAGGCGTATGGACAGGGGTTGCAGTCGTGACAAGAGCAAAAGAAAGGGAAAATGACAAAGAGTTCGGTTGCTGCATGTCCGTGCCCCCTCACTCCCATCCCTCGGCAGGGTTTGCACGCACTTTGTCAGTACATGTACGCACGAATATGGAACAGGCGCAGTTAGAGAAAATTTTGGCGAGCGAGAACGGAGGAAAGACGAGGAAGAAATCGTGTCCACATCCAATCACTGTGGAAATTCGAAATATCGACCGATGACAGTTTGCGGCCAAACCTGCATGTGCGACAAACGACATGAGAGAGTACGAGCCCCCTGGGAGGACGGCATCATCGATAAGATGAAGGCCAGCAAAGCTGTCATATGTGCACTGAGTTGTACAGTCGAGGAAACGCCAGTGTGGGTCCAGATAACGCAAAAAAGACGGTAAGGCGACACGGGACGACACGGGCGGGTGGCCTGCGCCTGCTCAAAAAATAAATCAAAAACAAATACAAAAACAACAGCGTGCGACACAAAGGGACATACGAGGACCAGAGGGTCGAGAGGCAAAGAGCCAAAAAGGGCACTGCCATGTTTCTCCTGGCCTGAAACGTATTTTGCATTTGAGAACCTTTGGGGCCATCTTGCTGGCCTGGCCAGGCCCGTTGCATAATCTCACACTCTCACTATACGCACGCACCACGGAGGGCCTCGTTCTCGCCGCATACGGTGTGCTGCTCTGTACCTTGTGTCGTGCCCTTTTGGCTGGATGCAGTCACAAGATTGGTGTTCGAAATGTCGTGACCGCAGCGGATCGTCCGTGAACTGTGTTCGATGAGTAAAAGGCAGGAGCGACCGAGGGGGCAAGACGGCGGAGATGAAAGAAACAAGAACCCCCAAACCCCCAA